TTTGCATGACTTGTGCCAGGGCTAGCATCGCTAATCATAGCTTACATTAACTTTTACTAGCAGTGATTTTAAATGGATTTCTCCAAATAGCATGACAAACTTTACCTGTATAGTAGAATCTTCGCGACTGCGGCATCAGTGGGAAGCCCAACCTGTGGTTTTAGCGCACGCCAGGGTGTGAAATATTCACCCAAAATCACTCTGGTCTTGTTTCTATATTCTCTTCTTATCATACACTTCGTATACATTTTTTTCTCTTTCGACCCTCAGCCATTTTCAAAGGAATGGCTGAAACCGTAACTCATCACACATAATACACCTGAAAGTGTGCATGCGCAGAAAGTGAAAACTACATAGGGACGAGCACGTACGACAGCCTTACGTAAACATATCACCAGAATGATTGACACTTAGGTGGACCAATAGTATAGGCTACCCACCCGGAAAAAGAAAATCCTCCGCTATACCTTTAAAGAGCAGGGTGGCCGATGGCCGATATATCAAGCCAGTTCTCAGCGCTGTCAAAATAAAAGTCCCACTCTCAACACATCGGCCAAAAAGAAAAACTTTTTAAATAAATTTTAAAAATGCCAGATATCGGACGATATATCGGTCCGCTTTGCAGACTCTGCTGTGTGCGTTCATGTATGGCTTTTGAAGGGAGGGTGGGATCTCATTCTTTCAAAGATAGCTTGCTATTGCTCGCCTCTCAGATATTGCCTACCCTACCTTAAATGCTTATACAATGTTCAGGATTATGCCGAAAGAGGCAAGAGCCATTCTGTACTGTAATGTCAATGTGTCGTGCACAGAAATGTGATTCATGCAAGCTATCTCACATACTCAGATCTATATATTCTATAGGCTCAAATATTCTTTATAATCGAACTATCATAACAGTGTAATTTTAATGACCTCATCTTTCGACCGGATGCCGGTGAATCTCAGAGCTGGTGCAAACATATCCAGATCTCTATAATCAGATGCTGTTTTCTCACCGCTGGCATTTTTGTTGTGTGTTTATTTCGTTTTGTGTTTATTTTTCTGAGCAATATGATATCATATTGCTCATGCTCCGCCCACGACCACTGACGGACTGTCCCGTATTAGCATATTTCCCATTTTAGCATATTTCCGTATTAGCATATATCCTATATTAGCATATTTACGCAGTTGCTCATTATCATTTAAAGAGACATGCACTGTAACGGGTCGCTGTGAACAGAGCTGTGTTTGAGGAGGTAAAAAGGGTGTTGTTTTACACAGCCATTGAGGAATTTTAACCAAAGTATGTTACAAACTTTACATGAAGACCCTAAAGAATCAAACCAACTTGTGAAAAATGGGCATCCGATGACCCCTTAAAGGGATAAAATGATTGACTATAAGACATTTCTCTTTATATAAGACCTTTTTGACATAAAGGGTTCTTTAAAATTAAGTCAAGAACCCTAGAGTTCTATATAGAACCTTTTTTTTCTAAAAATGTTTATTATGAATACTGTCAAAAATGATCGTGATTTTAACGGTAAAAGACTGTAAAAATGCTACAGTGAAAAACTGTTAATTGGTTAACAGAAAGTTTCCTTACTATATACGGTAAATAACAGTAATACATCTAACGGTACATTTAATGTAATTTTACTGCAAAATACTGTTAAATTTACAGTTTCTGAAAGTGAAAAAGAACATCTCATTGTATAATTTACAGTAAAAAAATGTAAATTGACATTCCCACAATTCCCTGCGTGACACTTCACATTTGATGTATTTTTGTTGAAATAACTATGTTTCTTCTTAGTTTTCTTAGTTTTTTTCTAATCAGTTATGTACATTAGGGTTTTATGTTACATTTAATGTTGTTAAATTAATGCATTTTTAAAATTTCATGTTTTTACCATGATGGTGTTTAATGTTTATGCGAATAACACTGTGCAGCTTCTATATTATAGTATTAACTTTCGTGTGGAAGAAGTTCTCGTGATGAGCTTTGATTGATCATGTGACTCTCATCACTGCTGTGTTTATTGTTGGTTGTCAGTGTATTACAATGGTACAAAACAGATTTTAATACTTCAATAGGTTGGTAAATTAACATTATATCAGATAATGAAATACGGTTTATTACTGTAAATTTTAAATTAAGTCTGTAAAACTAAACGTTGATACCGTATTTTTGACGGTAAAGTTCTGGTAACCACAGCTGCCAGTAAAAACAACTGGATTTTTTTTTACAGTAAATGATTTGAAGTGCATGTGTTTTTTTGACATTATCATACAGCTAAACAAACTTTTAATAGTTTAAAAAAACAGTGTCGAGTGCACATGTAAACTAAGTAGCCAATATAAAAACAGTTAAGTAAATGAATTAAAGTGCTTCATTTTTATTAGTATTTTAGAAGTATTAAACTAAACCACATGCTTTCATCAAAAACACTACTAAACGCTACGGTATGCTACGCTGCGTGTGTCCATTAGAGATCTGCAATGACAGATGAGGGAAGCTCAAATTGTGTGGACGCTAATCTGAAATGCATTGCATTGATCGGCTGGAGATTACAACATCCCGCCAATGAGTTGCAATTAGTTACATCACATTTCTCAATCAATTAAACTTACCCTGAGGCCACACTTTTTAATATCACCGGTGAGACTCTTGCATGAAATTAAATTAGCGTTCTTTCTCGTTAGGTGGTAGTTCTCCTTTTGTAGTTTTATCACAGACTCCTGCTGTGGGCTTCAGATCTGTCACTCGATCAGCAGGACAAGGAACCACCTAAAGAAATTGAAAAAGACATGAACTAAGTTAATATGAACGTGTGTTACTGTAGTAAGAGGTAAAACAGGCCAAACATGAAAGACACGCATGATAACTCACAAAACCGACTCCTGAAATGTGGCATAATAAAGTTTGCATGGATTTACCTTCAGGATGTGTGGAGGATAAATCTCTGAGCATATGTTTGATCCGTTTAAATTGGGAGCAAACCTTTTCCCTCTACATTTAACGTGAATAGAGCTGCTAAATCTGGTTAGCATTTAGCAAAGCTGCATGAAATATAACATGGGAAGAAATATTTATAAAACTAATGATGAGCAAATACACTCATTTTCTTTTCGATTCAATACCAAGTATATCAAGGTCGTTATATTTGGGAATGTAAATCTATGAATGTCCAAAGTTTAGTAGTTATCAGTGCATATTCCCTTTATAGGTCAGGGGTATTCACAGATGTTTCGAGAGAAAGATTTTATTATTTAAGGGTTGAAATGAAACAAAATATGTTTTCTAATAATATATATACATACACATAGTAGCCTATCGGTCAAAGGTTTGGAAACATTACGTTTTTTTATTTATGTTTTTGAAAAAAGTTTCTTATGCCCAGCAAGGCTGCATTTATTTGATAAAAAAATACAGTAAAAACAGTGAAATATTATTACAATTTAAAATTGCTGTTTTCTATGTGAATATCTAGTAAAGTGTAATTTATTCCTGTGATCAAAGCTGAATTTTCAGCATCATTACTCCAGTCTTCAGTGTCACATGATCCTTCAGAAATCACTCTAATATGATGATTTGATGCTCAAGAAACATTTATGATTATTATCAATGTTGAAAACAGTTTTAGCTACTTAATTATTAATATTGTTTTTTGGGAAATCATGATACACTGCGATTCAAAATTTTGGGGCAAGTAAGATGTAATAAAATAAATTAATAAAAGAAAAAAAAATTAATAATTTTATTTAGCAAAGGCACATTAAATTGATTAAAAAAAGACAGTAAATACATTTATGAAATTAATAAATATTACAAAAAAGTTATATTTATAATAAATGCTGACCTTTCTATTCATCAAAGAATCCTGAAAAAACACGGTTTCCACAAAAATACTAAGCAGCTAAAACGTTTTTTTTTTTTTTTACATTGATAATAATCATAAATGTTTCTTAAGCATCAAATCCTCATATTAGAGTGATTTCTGAAGGATCATGTGACACTGAAGACTGGAGTAATGATGCTGAAAATACAGCTTTGATCACAGGAATAAATGATATTTTACTATATATTCACATAGAAAACAGCAATTTTAAATTGTAATAATATTTCACAATATTACAGTTTTTATTGTATTTTTAATGAAATAAATGCAGGCTTGGTGCAGAAGAGACTTCTTTCAAAAACATTAAAAAACCTAATGTTTCCAAACTTTTATACAGTATATGAATATTTCTCCTCCTTTTGAATGTAGGATATGTTTAAGATATTTGTGTTAAAGAGTTTTTCTCACCAGTATCGGGTGTCTTGCTCAGTGGTTGCACACATTTTGGAAACACACAGTATAAATAGATCTGTATACAGGAGGAAAATATATGTTTGTATAGTTTGACAGTGTGGGAGCCAGGCTCGAGACACCACCATCCCTTATCCTTATTTATTTATCATTTCCTATAATCCCGACGATTTCTCTATTTCTTCATTAGTTTGTGGACAACTTTTTTTTTCTCGTTTTTTTTAATGCTCACCAACATAAGAACATTGTCAATGAATTACATACAAATACATATACATAAAACAAACAAAGAAAGAAAAAAACAATGATTATACAAAAACAATATAAAAACAAAAGACGACATGACAAAGAGATATGACAAGAAGGCACTACAATTGTTTTGATACAATAACATGCATTAATATACAAGGAAAGATTTTAAGTAGCCTATTTTCTTTAAATATTTCTTGATCAATCTTAGGGATTTTTGGTTATTTAGGCTATATAACGAAGAGATTTAAGAAGTGAGATTAATTCAGTGCCAAAATAAGGATATTCCAACCTCTCTTGCCTCTTCCTGTTGTGAACTTATGACTCTCATTATGACTCCAGCAATAACTCCGCCCCCATTCCTTTTTTAGCACGGCTGCAGACGCACAAGCCACGCCCCTTTCTTATTTAGTCTGCACAAAGACCCCGAAGCCCCGCCCTTTTGACCAAATAAGTCCAGGCTGTCCTTACACGGCGAACAATCGATGCGCGTCGCAGCCTTTTCCTTTCCTTATCCCGTTTATATAGTACGGCGACTTCCGCCCTTGCCGTTAAAGCAGTGCGATCATGGCGGAGCGCGTTCAGCAGCCCCCAGCTAAACGGCTCTGCTGCCGACCCGGGTATAGCACGACATGTAGACCGGGGCAGCGAGCCGGTGGAACCGTATGCGGAGGTTCGGGTTCTGGTCAAGGGGGATCCAGCAAAACCCAGAGCCCCGAATCGCTTTTGGACATTGCAGCGCGGAAAGTAGCGGAGAAGTGGCCGTTCCAACGGGTGGAGGAGCGTTTCGAGCGCATCCCGGAGCCCGTACAGCGGCGGATCGTGTACTGGTCTTTCCCGAGGAGCGAACGGGAGATCTGCATGTATTCCTCGTTCAACACGGGCGGAGAGGAGAGCGCGTCCAGCGGGGAGAGCGTTGACGAGACGCGGTTACCGTTCCGACGCGGCATCGCATTGCTGGAGAGCGGCTGTGTGGACAACGTATTACAAGTCGGTGAGTGTGGATGTAAACCCCGCGGCTTGGAAAATATTTACATTTTATTTATATTCCAGTCACCATCAACACGGTCGAGAGAAAACGTTCGATTGTCGTTTAAAAGAGGAACACGAGTCGGAATGAAAGGGACTATTGAATTTGCATCGAACAAAGGGAGGACTACAACGGGTTTAAATCTCCCGACAGGGTGCCTGGATGACGTTTCGTTTCGAACTTATCGATGCATTTTCGAACGTTCTAAATACAAAAGCGCTACAATGTATCCGCGCGAGATAAACAGCGCGGAAGTGGAGCTCGATGTCGCGCGATCCATTCAGCGTTTAAAACGCGTTGTTTTCGTTATTCTGTCGCATCTGTGTTGTGTGGTGTTCAACTTTAGTCGGTGTGTTTGCGTATTAATCGTGTATTTTCACGTATGGCGGTTGAAATGTCAAATCTTGCGAAGGTTGTCTGGTCTGTTTATTTTTCTGAAGTGAAAGCGTGGGGGGTGGTGGGGGGAGGGAGGTATTATTGGCGTAGTAAGTCTACTTCTGGATGTAGAGCTGTCATGTCAACTAAAAAGCAGTACTAGGCTATAAGCGATTTTTTATTGTTATTGCAAAGCCTCTGTTTTCGCTGCGAAACACTATTGGATTTTTATTTAGTGGGTGCGCATATCAAATAGCCGTCAGGCATCCCTATTGAAATTGGCACTTTGTTCCCATTTTCATGTTCGCTTGTGTCTTTTCAGCTTTCTGTCACCCTCCAAAAGGAAGGGAAACAAAAGCGGCTTTTTATTTTCTTTCACTGCTTGTTAAATGGAAAAGATTTGGGAAAGGGGTGGGAGGAATGGCGATTTAAAGACGCAGTGCCTCATTTTTTTTAAATGGCCCCTACGTTCCAGCTGACCCTTGTGACGTCAGCGTGCGTCTCGAAATTGTCTGCAAATGCGTTATTCAGCACTACATCTAATGATTCACCCGTTTTGCAACTTTATCCAGCTTTGTTTTTAAAAGTCCCTGCAATTAGCCGTGGCTCTCCGCCCTTTGGAAACAATTCAAGATTTTAATCACATTAGTGCCTTTGCTTAATTTGAATTGTAATGGAATCAGCAAACATAATTTTCTGCATGACCATTCCCCCCTCCTCCGCGTCCGTAGCCCGCTGGAGGAGAGGCGCCTCAGCTGGGCTTTATGCCCTCACCGTTCAGCCAAAATGGGTTTCTGCTCTCAGGAACGCGCGCACACACACATACACACAAGCCTGTGTGTCTTCCCGGCCTGGAGCCTCTTAAAAACGGACTGGCTGTCTCGGAAGATCAAGGGCTCTTGCCCTTTTTCCAACAGGCTACGTGGAGCTCTCTGCTTTTGATTCGGAGAGAAGCGCTTTTTCCCTTTGTGTGCGCCTCATTCCGAGCTCCGGCGATGGGAAATGACAAGCCTGCGCGCACGGGGAGGGTTTCTTGGCTGATTGCATCCCAGTATGGAATGCTCTGCAAAAATAAAGCCAAGCAGCGATAAATAAAAGATGCAATCTTGCGACGCAGGCAGGGCCGGTGGAGGGGAATGAGGGGGGGGGGTGTGCTTTCAGCAGACCCGGATTAGCCCCGATAGGTAGAGCTCACCGTGACGAACGAGCCGAGACCGAATTCAGGACACGAATTTGTTTTGCTTTCTATCATATGTAGGGGGAGGGGATGCAATAAAGCGATAATTCTCATAAATATGGCCGTGGCTTGGCCATGTTACCCTATGTTTACATACCGGTACCTCATCTCTTTTTGTGCATGTAGGGAATGTGAAGGATGTTGCATGCAGCACTGATCTTGTGGGAGAAGTGTGTGTGTTTTCATCAACAATTGACACTGCGGGATTATTGCACGCTCCCTGTAGCGTGCGCTCCTCCAAACGGATTGCTGTGGAAACCAGCATGGCATTATAGCTCTGGGAGCTGCAATTGCAAACGTCATATTTATAAGTAGTGCTTATGCATCCCTCGCTGTGGCTTCTTGCATCCTCATATTGATCACACCGAGCCTGAAAGGTCACCAGGTTCAAGTTCAGCCTTTCCAGCCGTGTGTTACGTTTCCATCCGTCACGACTTTATTAGGCTTCCGATCGGTTATTTAATGCTGATCCTATTAGGTGCCTTTTGGTCGCGATATGTTTGTCAATATGCTCAGCTGTTAAAGATCAATGGGAATTAACAGCAGATATGGGGGATCATGTGATAGTGCGCCGTTTGATGTGTAATAAAACAACAGAGGCGTCTGCAAAGGTCAGAGGTCAACCTGGTATATGTCACTGCTTTCAGTTGCCGTAATAACTTGACAGTTAAATCTCAAAGAGACCGAGTGATGTCATTTTCCATTATTATAGTTTGAGTCAGGACGTTTTGCGGCTTGTTCTCGGAAATACTCAAGTTTTTTGAAATTCTAGCATTGATGTTAATGGCAGAACCATATGCGAGTCCCTGAGGTGTATTGATCAGATGAAGAAGACGGTGTCATAGCGGCGTAATGATATAGCGGGACAGAATAAACTGATTTGTTTATTGATCTCGCATCAGAGGAGACGCTGATTTCCATCAGCCTTATTAACCCAGAAAGTGTGTGTGTGTGTGTAGGAGAAAGAATAAAAAATGCACATGCTGTAATGTGTGTTCCAGCTCACTGAGCCAGTGGAAAGAAAAGCCTTATGCCTGCGTTAACATTTCTGTCATTCATACACAGAAGTGCAAAATTTAAGATGTACAACTTAAATCTTGCATGAGGCTGTTGGTTTTGTGGCCGTCAGAAATGCCATGTGGAAGAGAGAGAGGTCTCCGGCGGTAGTCTGGTAGATTTGAGGTCAGTGTGTCTGTTATTGCTTTATGATGCTTCATAAGACTCATGACGTGTCTATAGATGCCACTCTTTCACCTTCCAATCACACATTTGAGATGTTTTGGAGGAAGATACCAAGATTTTTCTCGCTTTGTTCCTGAAATAAATTATTCAATGTCGAAATATGTAAATGAACTGATGCGTAATGTAATTAGCATACTATTCCTGCAATATATATAACACGTATGCATGCATACACATATGCATAGAATTCTCTACTGTATCCCACAATGCAATGTGGTTGACTTTTTTTTAAAATGAGACTTCCAAAAGTGAAGTCCTTTTTTATTCCAAGTTGGATTAAAAATGCTAAATTAGTTTATTTCTAAGACGCTTTGCACTACACATTTGAAAAGTGTGTGAAAAACAGTGTCCTGTTTTTTTTGTTTTTTTTAAATAGAATGCAGTATTTCATAATTAGCAAGCTCATATGATGTAAATAATTTCCCAGAAATTCTGCATATTGTTTCATAATAATGCAAGTTTTCTCTTTAAATATTAGATAAGTTATTTTGGGAACACTTTACAATAAGGTTCATTGTTAACATGAGTTAACTACCTTAGTTAACATGAACTAAGAATGAACACTTCTACAGCATTAATTAATCGTAGTTAATATTAATTTCAACATTTACTAGTACATTATTAAAATCAAAGGATGTATTTGTTAACATTAGTTAATCCACCGTGAACAAACAATGAACAGCTGTATTTTTATTAACTACTTTAACAAAGATGAACTAATACAGTAACAAATGTATCGATCATTGTTCGTTCTTGTTAGTTATAATACATTAACTAATGAACCTTATTGTAAAGTGTTACCGTTATTTTTTTATTTTAGTTAAGTTATTATTTTGCTTACACTTTACAATAAGGTTTCATTAGTTACCTACATTATATAACAATACTTCTACAGCATTTGTTAATGTTACATTCAATCAACAGTTGTATTTGTTAACATTAGTGAATCCACCGTGAACAAACGATGAACTGCTGTATTTTTATTAACAAACGTCAACAAAGATCAAGTAATAAATGTTTTGCTCATGGTTTGTTCATGTTAACTGATGAAGCCTTATTGTAAAGTGTTCCCATTATTAGTAATGTAGCACTGATTAAATCAGATGGTTTGCACTGACTGGCATGAAACGCTTGAGCAGCTCTGAGGAGTCAGATTGACTGTAAGTCTACAGATTTGCACCATGTACTGAAAGTTAGCGCTCCACCCACAATGCTCTTTGATGTAGTTTGTGGTGGAGGGCGTAAGCGCTGCTCTTCTTCTGCAGGGTCTGCTGTCTCAGACGCTAGTTTGCTTCACACAACAACACACACTTCAGTTGCTTAAGCAAGTCTACAAGAGCTTGATCACTAGCATTACCAGTCACATAAAAGCCCAGAGATTCACTCTTGTGGAATTCGGTCCGTTGCAGAGATTTGGAGAGCTACGTTGCGAAATATCACATCATAACGAACTGCATTTTGACTTCATCGTGAAGTTTAGCCTGAATGTTACATTCCTAACTACTTCTGTGCCCCGAAGCTCTTCATTTCAGGAAAGGGGAAACTAGAAGCTTAGCTAGTCGTCCTAGTTTACATGCATGACAGGTCGATGCTTTGTGTTCGTCAAAGCAAAGATGGAGGATTCTCATGGTGAACAACATCCGTTTCTTACGAGTTCAGAAATGGTGTGATGAGCGTTTAAGTGATGTTGGTCAGAATAAAGACTTGCTGGGCGTCTTCACATTTCTTTGTGAATGAAGATGGGAAGCTTTTATAGTACAAAAAGATGCATTAGGTGTGTGTTTAATCGATGCCTTGTGTTTTAGTCCATGCTTCCACAGGGAATGATGGGAATAAACCCAGCTAAATTAGTGACGTAAAAATTGAAATTCGAGCAATTTGATTTGTAGTATTCGTCATTATATATGCGTTTTATGAATTGTCAGTGGTGTATTTTATCTTCACAGCCCTCAAAAGGCCCTAAAACTGCTAAAAATATATTTTCTTTTTGTTTTATAAGGTGAATTCAGAGTGTTAAATTGCAGATAAACGTTCTATTTTAATGCAATTAACTCTTTTGATTATTAAACACTCTAAATGATGCTGGGTTGTTTTAACCCAAATTTGGGTC